ACTATACCAGGGGTCCTCAAACTAAGGCCCGAGGGCCAGATACAGCCCTCCAAGATCATTTACCCGGCCCTCGTTCAGGCTCAACCTAAGTCTGAAACGACTTGAACGCACACAACAACAATCCTATCTCATCAGGCCCTCACTTCCCACCGCAATACTAATAAGTTTATATTTGTTAAAATTGTTCTTCATTTTAATTATTGTATTGTTTTTAAGTGTTTTTTGCACTACAAATAAGAAATGTGCAGTGTGCATAGGAATTCATTCATGCTTTTTTTCAAATTATAATCCGCCCCCCAACAGTTTGAGGGACTTTGACTGACCCTCTGCTTAAAAAGTTTGAGGACCCCTGGACTATACAGTACACTTTTAATCTGCATGTGTTTTACTTGTTTTCTTCTTGTTACTTTTTAATTAATATTAATTATATTATCAAATATATCCATATTTTGTATTTTTTGCCATTTGTTGACCTTCTGGATATTAAAATACCTAGTTATTGCTTTTTAGTTAGCTGTGAGTTTTATGCCTAAGCGACTCCCTTACCCATGTGAAAACCCTGGAGGAGTGCAAAACTGGACAGCATGTTGACTGCAGACAACACTTTGTCCACCCTAGTTTAATGTCTGATGCTAAACTGAGAGGCAAAGGAATTTGAGGAGAGTTGTCTAGTTTTTCATCTACAGAACCACCCTATGCACATTTGGAAATGTATTGTTGTGCGCTTTAAAGTCATTCTTAACTTGCAGCGACCCTAACGTAACCCTGTCAGTTTTCTGGAGCTGAGAGTCTGTGATCCGTCCAAGGTCACCCAGAGGGGTTTCCATGACTGAGCAAGAAATTGAATGCTGATCTCCAGTTATAGTTAAAGCATGACACCACACTGGCTACTTGTAAAGTAGCCTCATTAAAATGTTTCTGAAAAATATATAGACTTTATTACACTTGAAATAACTAGCCAATAAAAGATTTTCTTAAAAGCCATTTAGATCATATGTTTAGTCACTAGGTGGCCCCAAAAGATTTGACATATTTTTTCAAGCCTTGATTTCTGGAGTTGACATATGACTATTGGAAGTGTGAAGTTTAAGATATACATTTAGAATAGGATTCTCCAATCTGGTTCCTTCCCATTATGTTGAACTCTCATGTTATTTTAGAATAAAGATGGGAATCTCTATTCTAAAGTTGTTGTCAGACTACGGCATCCAACCACCCTCCCAAGCAGATGTAAATCTTTCATCAATTTATCTTGAGTATACACAAGATACTCATAACTGCACTCCATGCAGTCATGCCAGCCACATGACCTTGGAGGTGTCTACGGACAACGCTGGCTCTTCAGCTTAGGAATGGAGATGAGCACCAACCCCTAGAGTCGGACACAACTGGACTTAATGTCAGGGGACAACCTTTACCTATGCACAAGATAAATACCACCTTTCTCAAACTGGTAATGCTGACAGACTGCTGTGTTCTTTTGACATGTCCTGCAACGGTATGATTGCAGCAAAAGGATAATATAATACCTTGTCACCATGAGAACTTGCACCATAATGTTTTCCATTACAGCTGATGGAAGTTACCACCTTACATTATTTTCAAGATGAGAACAATGCCTAAGGAAGTACAATTTCCCAGTGGGGTTCATGTATGAGTACAAGTAAAAGTTTGGCTGGACTTAGAACTCATGGTGGATTGGATTAAAACTGTGTGGAACAGATGACCAGATGCACTAATGAATCAGACGCTCCATTGGTTTTGGACAGTTGAGCAAGAGACAAGAGGTAGTCATTTCTGTTGCAGCCACTGATGTATCAAGTTAGATCCCGACTTATGCTTTTATACTCAAATAACTCAAAGAAAGTGAAGACAATAACCACAGTGACAACACTGGAGTTACTCTAATAAGACTAAGTCTGAATTCATCAAGAAGACAGGTGTGTATAGAATCGCAGGAGAGGGAATCATAGACTCATGGAGTTGAAAGAAACAAAGGCCATCCAGTCTAGTCCCCTGCCATACAGGAATATACAATGAAAGCACTCCTAACAAATGGCCATCCAATCTGTTTTAAAAAACCCCAGAGAAGGGGACTTCGGAAGCAATGTATTCCACTTCCAAACAGCTCTTACTGCAATGAAGGTCTTCCTAATATTTAGGAGTCTCTTTTCCTGCAATTTGATTACATTGCTCCATGTCCTAGTCTCTGAAGCAGCAGAAAACAAGTTTGCTCCATCTTCAATATGATATCCCTCCAAATATTTAAACATGGTTATAGTGTCTCCTCCCCTTCTCTAGAATAAACTTAGCCAGATCTCTCAGCTGCTCCTGATAGGACCTGACTTCCAAACCTTTGATCATTTTGGTTGCCCTTCTCTGAACACATTCCAGCTTGTCAATATTCTTCTTGAATTGTGGTGCCCAGAACTGGACAGAACGTTTCATGTTATGTTTGACCAAAGTAGAATAGAATGGTACTGTTACTTGCCTTGATCTCAACACTTCAATTGATGAAGCTTAGAATCACATTGGCTTTTTTAACTGCTGCATCACATTGTTGACACATGTTCAGCTTTGATCTTATGACCTAGATCCCTTTCCCATATTCTGTTAAGTCAGGTGTCACCTATCCAACATCTGTGTACATTTCATCCCCTATACTTCCCCTTGCAAAAACGCATTTTGTTAGATTTGACCCAGTTCTCTAAACTGTTGAAATCATATTGAATTCTAATCCTGTCCTCTGGGGTATAGGTTACCCCTCTTAACTTGGTATCATATTCCAAGTAATTGATAAAGATGTTGACTAACCCGGAGCCAGGATAGAACCCAGTGCCACTTCTCTCTAGCAAGAGTAGGAATCACTGGCGTTCAGCCTGTCATTCAATTCCTAATCCACTTTACTGTCACATTGTTTAGCCTACATTTTACTAGCAACTTTGTGAGAGTATCACAAGGGACCTTGTCAAAGGTCTTACTGAAATCAAGATGTGCTAGATCCACAGCATTCCCTTTATCGCCGATCTTGTTGTGAATATGGCATTCCTTTCTAAAAGCTTACAGATTGTTTAATGAACTGCTCTAGAATATTTCCTGGTATGGATGTCAGGCTGAATAGGCAGTAGTTGATGGGGTTCTCCCCTGCCCCCTTTGAAGGTGGGGATAACATTTGCCTTCCTTTAGTCTGGTGGAACTTGTTCTCCAAAAATTCTCAAAGATGATTGTGAGTTCTGAAATTACTTCTGCCAGTTCTTTTAATACTCTTGGAAGGAATTCATCTGGCCCTGGAGACTTGAATTCATTTAGATTAGCTAGATATTCTTGTACTGCCTCTTTACCTATTCTGTGCTGCATTTCCCCAACTGCATATTCTGAACCATCCTCCCCAAATTGAGCACTGTTAACCTTTTGAGAGAAGACTGAGGTAACAAAGCTGTTCATCAGTTGTGCCTTTTCTCTGTCCCCTGTTAATATTTTGCCATCACCTGTATGTGTTGGCCCTTCCATTTCCTTGTTTTTATTTTTGCTACAGACATAACAAAAAAACCCCAATCCTTTTTATTGTTTTTAACCTCTCTAGCAAGCCTGAGCTCATTCTGCACTTTGATTTTTCTGACTTTCTCCATAAATATGCTAGCTAGTCATTTGAATTCCTCTTTGGTGATTTCTCCCTTTTTTCATTTTTGTACATGTCCCTTTTTTACTCAACTGAAAGTTCCCTAGACACCCATTCTAGTTTCCTTGGACATCTATTTTTCCTCCTCATCAAAACTGTTTGAAATTGTGCCTCTAAGATCTTACTTTTCAGGAATTTCCATCAATCATGAACTCCTTCTCTTAGTATTCCTGACCATGGGATTACACTCAGTTTTCCCTAAGTTTACTGAAATCAGCTTTCTTCAAGTTTATGTTTGTCTTCCCCTTTCTGCTGTTTAACAAATTCTAGAACAGTGGTGTCAAACTCATTTTCACCTAGGGCCGCATCAGCCTACGGTTTCCTTCAAAGGCCCCTTTTATGTCCAAATATGTACATATTCCTTTAGGACAGTACAACCTTGGAATGTGCGATACACCTTTTATCTGTCTAGGGTGGAAGGTTGATGCTTTTGTAAAAATATTCATAAACTTTGATGAAAGATCAAAATAGGTGTCACTAATTAACCTGTCATGAACTTTGGAGAAGTTGCCAGCTAACAGCTGTGATTAGTTGACTGTGGCAGCCTGATATAAGCCAGGAGTCTTTCATGTACAAATAACATTCCCTAGACTTTGAAGAGCTTCAAAACGACCTGGACTGTACTGCTACAAGGTGCATGTTGCCCATTAGTTGGAATCTCTCTACTGCTGACCTATTTGAACTCCCAACAATGGAGGAGAAATGTACGATCGCTCTTGCTCCACAGATACTTTTTTCTTCCATACTGACAAATACGTACAACCTTCGCTTCTTTTATCTGTACCTATGAACTTTTCACATTGCGCAATACAATGCTATACTATTTTGGATTTACCTAAAATAATATGAATTTTGCAACAAAAAATCAAGGTATAATTTTCTATTCATTAAAATACAAAATTATCTGTCTAAGTGACAGAGAAATGTGTCCAGTTATATTTCACATAAAGGAACCATAAACCCAAAGCAGGAACTTTCACAAAATGCTGTAAAATCTTGGTAACACATTTCATAAAAACACTGAAAATATATTAATGGCTAGTAGAAAAAAAAGGCTAAAAGAATAAATACAGGAATATTTTGTAACTGGTTTGTAAGTGAAGCAGCTTAGACAAATGAAGTGCTCTCTCCACAGGGACGTCTTCTATAAATCCTTTTATACAGTTATTTTCTTTAGTTTCACTTAGTAATTGACATACTGTTAATGTGTGATTTATATTGTAGAGATCTTATGGACACAATTAAATACTTCCAGTTAACACAATAAATTTTGTTTCCATGTATTTACTAATGAATTAACAAATGAGGACCAACATTTGCCTTTTCTCTTGGTGATGAAACTTTATTGGAAATTGAGGAGTTAATGGTTTCTGTTATTACTGTACAAAACCAGCTTTTTTCTCCTGCTGCTACTACATTTGTAAAAATAAAACCACATTTAGGACACATGTAGATTGCATGGAATAGATTCTTTGGGCCTGCATCTTACAAATATGTAAGGAATGAAAAATTTATCCTTTGTTTAAAATAAGAATATTTTCTACTATAGGTACTCTGTGTTTATAGGCAATAGACAGAGTAATAACTATTCAAAAAAAGGCTTGAAATACAGAAATAAGACTATGCCCTTTTCTTTGTTCTCAATTCTGCTATTACTTCATTACAGTAAATATACCTTCCCAAAAAGAGAGAAAAAGAAAATTAGAAACAAACTTCTTGAAAAGTGTAACTTGCAACAAATTCAAAAATAGATCCCTTATATTCTCAATTGTCCGCTTATCCAATATGGCAGTGCCTTGACATGGCCAATGTTTTCTGATATTAATCATCCGGTTCATATCTGTTTAAAAAGGATAAAAACAGATTAATATATGATGGCAAAACAATATGTTACTTGGAATAAACATACAAAATGTTATTTTAAAAGACATGTTGTCACTTAACTATAGTGTATGAACTAATAAGCAATCAGGATACATTTATTCCACTCTTGAATACAACTTAGTTCAAGCAGAACATTTTAAATTCTAATAATTCAAATCATTTTTTAAACATTTTCCATTCCAGTATGACTTTAATATCAATGAAATGGAACTAGAAAAGACTTGCACTCAAACCATCCAGAAATCCTGTCGGAGTTTATTCAGCTTGCCAGAAACCTTATTTACTTATTGAATATGTGTTTACAGATCCTAAATGACAGTTATCAGAATGAATGTCATAATCTTGGGACTGGGATGCAAACATCTAGTTCTGTACAAAGAAGTTTCTAAAATTGCAGCTAATTTTAGCAACCTCTTAATGCTTTTAAAAATGCCATAAAAGTGTTGTTTGCAGTATAGGATGAGGTCTTGCTGTTGAAAAAAAGAAGAAGAATAAAAACGTGGGCAAATGCTAAGCTTCAACAGATTTAGCTCACTGGAACCCAGTCTCAGTTTTTAAATTGCACATTGTCTTGCAAAGTTGAAAGCTCAACTTACTTCGAAAGCTTCTTTCTTAGCTCCTTGATCTGGTCGTTCTTCTTGGACAGAATCTCTTTCATGTTGCGATAGGCAGCTGTTTGTTGGAACTTCTTTTCCAGTTCCTATTTATTTAGAATCATCAATGTATCTACTTAGTTTTTTTTTTTACAAAAGTTAAGCCAAAGCTTAAAGTTCTTCATTTTGAAACTATTCAAAACACGATCATTCAGTAGCAAGTGCATGACACGTAAATCACACACTTGTAATTATTGTGTAATTATCTTACATTCACTTCAAATGATTACTGGGAATTTATATCAGTATTTAATATGCAACAGTAATCCAATGAGTGAACATGAGGAAAATGAGATGGACAGCATAATCTATAGGTCTTCCCAGAAGAAAGTCACAGCATGCTCTTTATGGCTTATGTTGACATAGGTAAGTATAGACATTTGTGACTTCCATAACATTTCATAAGGGTTATTGGAAAACTTGAATTCTGTCTTGTGAGCAGTGATTCAAGTATAGTGGTGTCCTGGAGTTGGATTTAGACCAGGTCTATACAAACTGTGGCCCTCTGGCTGTTTTGGACTTTGGCTCCCATAATTCATAATCATGGGATAAGTTGGCTAGTACTTATGGGAACTGGAGTATCGAACACTGGGAAGATCATAGGTTGTGCAAAACTGGTTTAGACAAAATGTCTCAGATAAGAACCAGAAAGATATCTAGAAGATCTCTGCATTTGATACCACAGCAGTGAAACAGTTGGATGACTCTCACAATTGGTGGTAGAGGCAGGAATAAATCGAAGCCATTATATCTTGGTCCAAAATTCTTAGAACTTCAACCATTATATGAGAACTGTTAACAAAATCCAAACCTAAAGAAAAACTTTTTCCTATCAAAACCACTGTAGATATTCTTTGTTTATAATTTTTGTATAACAAAGAATAAGTAATGTAGAAACTACTTTATGTAGTTTGTTGTATTGTATTTTATTGTACTATTTATGTTGTGAGTCGCCCCGAGTCCCTTTGGGAGATGGGGTGGGATATAAATAAATATTATTATTATTATTATTATTACCATAAAATGAAATATATCAACGTTTCTTCTATAATGTAAATTACATATGTTATTTTTCTTTATTAAAACATTTATATCCATCCCAAAAGCTAAATATCTCAATTCAGCATACAATAAAATCAACTTTAGCAATTTAATACTATCTTCTGTATTCTTCTTCGTACCAAGTTCATATATTTTACCTACTATCATGTTACCAGAAGAAAATGACAGCTATGTAACAGAATAAACCATACCTTTTCAGCCATAGCTAACTGGTCCTGAACCTTAAGCAGGTCATGCTTTGTTGAAACCAGATTCTCTTCCAGGGATTTTTGGCTTGCAGTACTATCATGCAAAGTTTTTTCTAATTTGTACTTCAAATCAGCCATATTGCTTTCTAGTTCACAAAGATCCTGTGTAGGGTTTAACTAAAAAAAATGAAAGTAAATAAATACATTAATATGCTACTAAAAATAAACACCTACACATTCATTCACATTCCTTTAAAACTTGACGATTCCAGATATAAAATATATACAGGCTGAACTTTCCTTACTCAAAATGCTTGGCTCAAAAGTGTTTTTGATTTCAGATTTCTTTCACATTCTGGAAGACCTATACTTGTGTGTGTGTATAGAAATATCTTTGAAATAGGACTCAAATCTAAACACAAAATTCATTTATGTTTCATGTACATCTTATACACATAGTCTGAACATATTCTACGAATTTTTAAAAATAAATTAATACATGAAACAAAATGTGCGCACACTGAATTATCAGAAAGAGAAGGTGTCATTATCTCAGCCAATAATGTGGACAAGTCCTGTTTTTGGAGTATTTCAGATTTAAGAATTCCTGATAACCTGTACAATGAAAACATCAGGAAAAAAACTTTGCAAGGGAGTTGGTTAAACATATAATTTAAAGTTCGCTGTGATCTTTACTATAAAGAGCAGTTAAGACAATCTTTGGATCCTTTATTTATAAGGTGGAAATGGAACAGCTTCCATTTTCTCCCTTGCTAGGAATACTTATGCTTTAAATGGCTCTAAAAACATATTAAATACGTTGCAGAAAACAACATATTATTCAGTATGACAAAGAATAAGTCTTGTATTTTCATTACTGAAAAGAATGTTGTCTGAACATTAGTTGCCTTAACTTAACAATTGCTGCTAAAAAGGACAAATCACACACACTGTATTTTTTGCATTGAAGAATACGTACCATAAATCATGTTGGAAAGCAAAAGGAAAAGAAATTTGAATTAAAAAACTGAAAATTTATAAGAATTCATTGTTTTGCCTGTTGTATTTTGGCGTATATTTTCCTACAGATTTGATTTTTAAAATTCATACACATTTACCAAATTTACCACATACCAAATTTACACTGTGCAAATAAATTAGATCCATTAGAAAACTTTTTTTCTCTGAAAAAAGTACTGAAATTGCCTGGAATAATTAATTCAACTATATGCAACTGAAATTGTATTGTAAATATTAGTCAACTTTTCCCCGAGGCTAGTTGAACCAACCTAAAATTACCTGGTGTAATTCAATAATATTTAAATGAAATGATACTGAAAATGTTAGGCAACTTTCTCCCTAGTTTATTGGAGTAAACCAAATAATTTTACCTTATGATCTCCTTGAACAATCTCAAGCTCTCGGAGAGCTTTCTCCAACTTTGATTTTTCATCCAGTGCACTGGTAGCCTGCAAGAAATTTGAACATTTAAATCAGAATGTATTTTAGGATAGAAATAGAACTTCTGATGTACATATAACAAAATTTAAACTAAATTACCTGCATTTCTATTGTCTTTAATCTGCTCCTCAATTTTTCATTTTCTTCTTGGAGTCTTGCAATTTCCTATGGAACATTAAAACATTTATTGTTGTATTCTATCACTAAATATCTGGTCTGCAGAAATATCTAGCTTACTGGTTATCTTGATCAGAATAGTGAAAAACATACATACATACATACATACATACATACATACATACATACATACATTTCAGTTGCCAAAAAAACATCTACTTTCCCTTAAAACATCCTGGTTTAAATCAGTAGTTCTCAACCTGTGGGTCCCTATATGTTTTGGCTTTCAACTTCCAGAAATCCTAATAGCTGGTTGGTTGGGATTTCTGGAAGTTGTAGGCCAAACCTGGGGGCCCATAGGTTGAGAACTACTGGTTTAAATCATGTTCTCAAGAGAGAAAAATAAGGTAACATAGTTGGTTTACGCACAAACTTCATGTATTCATCACACAGGTACATTGCATATCAGTCCAGTTACAGATAGAATTTGAAGTAGTTTCTCTGTGCAGGTAACATAGGGCATCTTTCTTATAATCTTAACAGCCCATAGTCTAAAGCAGTGATTCTCAACCTGTACAGCTAGTAAACTGATTGGGATTTCTGGGAGTTGTAGGTCAAAACACCTGGGGAGCCACAGGCTGAAAACCACTGGTCTCAAGCATCTCTCTGTTCTGAGAGTCTAGAGTGTCTCTGTCTAGTCTGAAAGTCCAATAGTTTCTACTTCTATTAGTGTCTGAAAGCATACTGTTTCTAAAATAGTGTCTGAGACCTGAACAGTCCCAGTTCTGATCACATGGTCTGCAGCGCCTCCCACAACACAGAATTAAGGAAAACTGCATACCAATACACACATATACAATACAGCAAGCGATCTGAATTATAGAAAAACAAATAACTAGTGGAGGCTTGAAGAAAGTTGCTATTTCCAACAATTAAGGTTCAAATAACATGTAACGTATTAGTTTAATTAACAATCAGAAAACATAACTATCACAACATATACCTTCTGCAGGAGTTCTGATGCTCCATCATGCAATGGAGTAAGTTTAGGCTTAACCAGTTCTGGATTGGGCTGGAATTTTTAATAAAAGCATTAAAAGGTTACAAGAACATATTCAAATATTTTCTTTTTAAGATATGCTGTAGMCCCCCCCCCCCCCACACACACGTGTTCACTCTAGCAGCAAAGTCAACGAGACTTAGTCTCAGAGAAGAGGATACATAATTAAACCCATCATGGCAATTATTTCTCAGAAAGATTGCTAATATGTAACTACAGTTCAAAGCAATGTTCCTATATTTTGTGGATGGCGCTGAAAGTTCTCCTCCCATTTATCTTCTATGCCACAGTAATCAAAGAAGAGGAGGGTTTCTGGAGAATGAAGAAATGGCCTACATTCCAGAACAGCAACTCTAAAGGTATTGGATAAAGGTAAATGGATTTACAAGCACAAAGCCTCCTCTCCAGGCGCCTTTAAATTCAAAAAGAACCCTGAAGATCTTCTGCCTCAGCTAACTGCCCCAGCCTCTTTTAATAAAGCTTACAAGCCGCCTATGGCCTTCCTTCTTATAGCTTCCATCCTGCAAGACATAATGAAGGCTTATCTATTTCTGTTATAAGTAGAACCATCTCTCACTGCTTTATCCTTTTTCTCACAGACTTTCTTATTCAATAGACTGAACTTCAAGTCATAAAACAAATCACTCACATTGGAGCTGCTTTCTCCCTAGTTCAAGATCTCTGAATGAATGAGATAGCCTATCCAACTCCAGAGCACTCTCTCATAATGACAGGTCATGTCACATCTTATAATTTGTAAAACTGATTCCAAGAACTGTCTTATTTCCTATAGTCATAACCTATTCTATAAACCATTTTGGTTTTCTAAAACAGATAGAAATGATTTTAAAAACCAATAAACAACATTTTTTAATTAAGCAAGAACTTATTGCTTAAGAATAATAACTTTTAAACAGTTACATTTTCCCTAGAATTCAGAATTATTAAATACAAGCAGGTTTTTCATAATGAATTTTACTACATTAGCAGAGGTACATACTTTCTTATTTGAAGATGTAAATTCTGACTTTTCAAACTCTGCAACTTGCTCTAATAAATTCCTAGAAAAAGAGCAGAAAAAATCACTCAATCATCCTTTTGGACACCAAACTATACATTCCATTGAGCAATGAAGGCAATAAAATAGAAGAATTAGTCTTGTAGTTATAAAGCAAAAAAATTGTATCAAGGCAGGTTATATGGAAAAATCTCTTTATAAATACAGATGCAATTACTTTCCTAGGTAATAAAATATTTAGAAACAAGACTGAAATCCAAAACACACTTATTTGAGGCTACTTTGGTTGAAGTCAGTGGAAATTCTCATAAAAATGTTGTGAACAGTAGAAATCAACATTTATTAAACTAGTTTTATAGCATCGCTGATACATATTGGGAAACGTTTACTAATAATGGTACATTTTAAAATCTTACCTATTTTCCAACTCTGAAATGTCAGTTTGCAGTTTAAGATACCACTTCTCTGCTTGGGAAAAAATTTGGCGCAGAAGCAATACATTGGTGTATGCTGTGTTAATAAGCTCAGATTCCACTTCACTGTGTACCACGGTCTGTAAGCCATCCAGTATATCTGTAACTTCATCAATAGTGAATGTGTCTTCCACCAACCTTAATTTACAAATGCAAAGGTTACTAGAACATCAATGCTGACAAACCAAAATATCCATACAGCAAACCAAAACCAAAAATATTCCTGTTTACAGTTGGCCCTCCATTTTCACACAGATTATGGGTGCTGGACTACTGTGAAAGTGAACAAATTCCAAATATCTATCTCTAAGCCACAATTGTATTTAACCCACACAAAACGTGCCTGTACTGGTGGGGTAGAAGAGTTCAGCTGAATACATGTGCAAAGGGAAGAGCATGGGGGAAATGCAAGAAGAGGTTAGGAAGAAGTCGGGAAAAGCCTGAGAGGGGTGAGGAGTAGAGAGCCTGAAAAGAGAAGTGTATTTTCATTCCTGCTGGTTTTTTAATAGTTACTGATTTTCTTTCCTGATGGTTTTTTTAAACAGTAACTGATTTTGACATTTAGTGATGTACGGGAATTAAAATTTATAATTCCAGTTCTCTCCTCCTCCCCTCCCTGGTCCCACTCCTCCATCAGTTCTGAAGATTCTCACTTCAACTGTGGGCACAGTGGGAAGTAATACTGAATCAGTCCTTGATACCTAGTGAGTGAAGACAATGTAATATAAAAAGAGAAGTTCCTTCATACACATATTGGAATAATCAAATGCTAATTTGTATGTCAGATACTCTATGGTTTGGAGAAGTTGGCTTCCATATTTTTTAAATCATCACATATGTGTTTACTTGCAAACAAAACATAAAGCACTGGATTGCAAGAAGTGAGATTGCTTCCAAATCACAAGGGTTACATCTGTCTTGCCCCTACTTGTGTAGAAACAGAACAAATAATTATCATGATCTGACAGTGTCCCATTCTGCCTTTAGAATGATTGCTACTTTTGGACCCTTTGAGCTTGTCTTCAAGTTATTTTACTATCATAGTACCTGCTTTCCTTAAGATCCTGAAAACAGGAGTCCACTGTCTTTAGGCGCAGACCACGCTTGGAGCGTGCAAATCGCATGTAGCTGATGACTTCATTCTGATGGTGTTCATTGAGTCCCAGCTCCGCCTGGGCAAAATAAAACAAAACATCCAAGCAGTTTTTACAACCAAGACTTTTCATCTTCTGTTTAATGATTATTATTATGAATGAAATCAGAAAATTATAATGGCAGTTTTTTTAAAAAATGTCAACAATGTCAATAAACTTTGTTATACACATATACAAGCTGCCTTTTTGGACCACATAATTGCAATTTCCATTATGGATTCTGAGCTTGGTGAACGTTGAACATTAGATTGGTTTTTTTATTGATTGTGATGTATAAGTGGATTGTTTTAATTGTTTATAATTGTTGTTGATACATGTTTTATCCTATTGTCTGTTTTATTGGCATCGAATTGTGCCTTTTGTAAGCCGCCCTAAATCCCCCCTCGGGGGTTGAGAAGGGCGGGGTAGAAATGCACGAAATAAATAAATAAATAAATAATGCAGTAGAGTCTTGCTTATCCAACATAAGCGGGCCGGCAGAACATTGGATAAGCGAAAATGTTGGATAATAAGGAGGGATTAATGAAAAGCCTATTAAACATAAAATTACATTATGATTTTACAAATTAAGCACCAAAACATCATGTTTTACAACAAATCAACAGAAAAAGCAATTCGATGCACAGTAACATGATGTAATAATTACTGTATTTACAAAATTAAGCACCAAAACATCACAATGTATTGAAACAGCTGTGGATCAGGGCGGGAGACTGACTGCGTTAGGTAATACAGAACATTGGATGAGCGAAGGTTGGATAAGTGAGACTCTACTGTACTAACTAAATTTTGAGTCAGAATTATTATCTGTGTACTATCTCATGGCTTCAAGTACTTTTGAGAAGCAAATAGGAAAACTAGAACATTCAGTGATTCATGCTTGGTATTCATCCCAAGATTCCTATATGGGATGTTTACTAACTGAAACAGAAAATGCTACATTGGGGTTTTTAAAATATAAAAATAAAGACAATAGGGAAAGACATAAGAAAGAGGAAAGGAAAAAAAAGAAGAATGTGTATAATAGGGTTGCGCACTAAGCACATACATTAATATAGACTAACCATATGCAATGGTCCCATTACTGATCATATAGAATCTTATGCTCAGCGGTTGTGGAGTCTGTTGGAAACTAGGCAAGTGGGGTTGATATATCTGTGGAATCATGTCCAAGGTGGGAGAAAGAACTCTTGTCTGCTTTAGGCAAGTGTGAATGTTGAAATTGGCCATTTGATTAGCACTGAACAGCCTTGCAGCTTCAAAGCCTTGGTGGATGCTGCCTGGGAGAATCATTGATGGGAGGTGTTAACTGCCCTGATTGTTTTCTGTCTGGAATTCCCATTTTCTGGGTGTTGCTCTTTATTTAATGTCCTGATTTCTGACTTTAGATTTCAAAGCCAGGCTTTGAAGCTGCAAGGCCATTCAATGCTAATCAAGCTGGCCATCTGTAACATTCACACCTGCCTCAAACAGACAAAAGTTCTTTCTCCACCTTGGACATTCTACACATACATAAACCCCACTTGCCTAGCTTCCAACAGACCTCACAACCTCTAAGTATGTCTGCCACAGATGTGGGTGAAACGTCAGGAGAGAATGCTTCTGGAACATGTCCATACAGCCCGGAAAACTTACAGCAACCCAGTGAATCTGGTCATGAAAGCCTTCGACAACATAGTCTCTACAATGAAAAGGCCGCCCTCTTCTATGAATCAATGTGTGGAACACGAAGAGCGCACTCCCCAAATGATGCTAAAACCTCTTGCGGACCTAGGGGCCCCTCTCTGCTAACTAGGGATGATGGGGTTTGTAATCCAAGCGGGGTGAGGGGTGGGGAACCTTAGAGGGAGGAAGAGTAACACTCCAAAGGAGTCCGGCCTACTTCAGAAGGCGAAGGCGCCCTCTCTAAAGTACAGAGGCGCCCTACCATCTCTCTGGGGAAGCCTGTGGCGCTAAGAGGAGCCTGGCCCAGTGAAGACCATTCGAGAGGAGGCCCGAAGGGGGGCGACGCGGCCGTAACTCACCATGACGAACCGCCGGCGGCCCGGAGAGAAGAGCCGAGGGATTTACAGGGCGGCGGTTGCCATGGTGAGGAAACAGAAGCCTCGCGAGCGCCTCCTTTGAAGCCCCATTGGTCGAGACGAGCGTTTGTGTGACCGGAAACAAAAGGCAGTCGGGTTCGGGTGCGGCAGGGAAGCTAACGGACGCCGGGTTTGAGAGCGGCGCGCGGCTCTATCCAAAAGGCCAAAGAGTTGAGAAATATCGTTCCAAGACTATACTTCGTGGTTGCTTTCGACGCCGTTTCCCCTTTCCTCTGTTGCTTCAGCGGGGTGAAAGACTGGAGGCTTTGGAAGGAGGCGATCAAAGGCTTTAGTCTAGTTGTCATATGATTGGCTAAGGCCAGAGAGCCCCGCCTCTTTCTCTCTCTCTCTCTCTCTCTCTCTCGGCAAAGAGGAAAGGAACACAAAAGAGGCCCAACAACTAGGGTTCCGTTGGGCATAAAAGGCCAGAGCATTACTCTCTAATGTTCTAGCCACTTGTGTATATTCCCTGTAGATCAGTATTTCTCAGCCTGGGGGTCGGGACCCCTGAGGGGGTCGCAAGGGGGTGTCAGAGGGGTCGCCAAAGACCATCAGAAAAAACAGTATTTTCTGATGGTGATGGGGATTCCATGTGGGAAGTTTGAGCCAATGCTCTCATTGGTGGAGTTCAGAATGTTCTTTGATTGTAATGAACTGTAAATCCCAGCAACTACAACTCCCAAATGTCAAGATCTATTTTCCCCAGACTCCTCCGGTGTTCACATTTGGGCATATTGAGTATTCGTGCCAAGTTTGGTCCAGATCCACCACTGCATGAGTCCACAGTGCTCTCTGGATATAGGTGAACTACAACTTCCAAACTCAAGGTCAATGCCCATCAAACCCTTCCAGTGTTTTACATTGGTCATGGGAGCCAAGTTTGGTTCAAATCCATTGCTGGTGGAGTTCAGAATGCTCTTTGATTATAAGTGAACTATAAATCCCAGCAACTACAACTCCCAAATTACAAAATCAGTCCTTCCCCCAACCCCACTACCATTCACATTTGGGTGTATTGGGTATTTGTGCCCAGTTTGGTCCAGTGAGTGAAAATGCATCCTGCATATCAGATATTTACATTATGACTTATAACAGTAGTAAAATGACTGTTATGAAGTAGCAATGAAAACAATATTATGGTTGGGGTCACCACCACATGAGGGATTGTATTAAGCGGTCACGGCATTAGGAAGGTTGAGAAACACTGCTGTAGATCCACTGTCTCACTGTATGAAACATCCGAGGAAGCATTGTTATTGTGATGAACTTGATGTCCACTTCATTACTCTCTACAATTCTCCACCTGAGGAAGACTTTAGTCGAAACCGGTCGTGGATATCTTCATACAAGAAACTCAAAACTTCCTCAAGAGTAACTTTCTGTAAAGTAAGGGATTTTATGCCCTCAAGAGAAATGTGGGTATCTTCTTATAAGAAACTGAAAACCTCACTCAAGAGTATCCTTCTCTAGAGTAAGGGACTTCATGCCCTATAGAGAAGTTGGCTTTACACCAAGAAAGACTTTTGCTATGGTTGTATAATCACTGTGTAAACCAAGCTACCTAACTGACCGCCTCTCGGCCTATGAGCCCACGAGGACTTTGAGATCTTCCAGGGAGGCCCTGCTCTCGATCCCGCCTGCGTCACAGGCACGGCTGGCGGGGACGAGAGATAGGGCCTTCTCGGTGGTGGCTCCTTGGCTGTGGAACACCCTTCCCGTAGACATCAGGCTAGCCCCCTCCCTGTTGATATTCCGCAGGAAGCTAAAGACCTGGTTGTTTAAGAAGGCATTTGAATAGAAGTGCAATGACTGGTAACCCGACCATAGGAATGGAACAACGGAATTGGTAGCGGATTGTGAACCTGACGATGAGATGACTCAGAATGGCTTGCAGTAATGTTGATGTTTTGATGAGATGTTTTGATAATGATGTACTGTGGATTATTTTATTTTATGTTGTATTTTGCACCTGGTTTTCTATGCTGTACACCGCAATGAGTCGCCATTAGGCTGAGAATTGCGGTATATAAGCGAAGTAAATAAATAAATAAATAATAAGTTTGTAATTCATTATATACTGCTGTATGCCACACCATATAAAATTGTAAATTGTTATTTGTTCAATATTGCATTATATTAGCTGAAAGAATATATTTACCTTTGTGTTTTGTGTACCACAACTTGTAGTGGATTTGTGCTTTTTGTGATTGTGGGAATCCATTGCCTTTTGCATTATGCACAACAGTTAGAGTAAATGTGCAGAACATTTATTACTTATATAATCCCTGTATACTATTTATTATTTTTAACATCTTTCTCCAAGATATTGTAAAGTATAAAAACAATTACATATTTATTTAACCTTCTATGCAGTGTGCGAGTTCTGTCTATTATCTTAAGTTTCTCTGTGATACTTTAAAAGAGAAATCAATTATATTTTTATGTAACGTTATGTAGCAAATTAGTTATGCATTTTGTAAAACTAATCAAAAAGTGATGAATTATTTTTTTAAAGTACACATTACTTTTTATACAATAGATATCCTTGAAAACATGTTGTTTCAAGTTCTTTGCCGTAATCAAAATAAGTTCTTTCGATCCAAACTGAAATTTGCATTGAAACCATCTCTACGGAATCACGTGTTTGCTTGTTTTGTATTTGATGCCAGAAAGTGAACCCATAATTCATTTTCTTTCACCTAAAGCAGGAGGGACCTGAAGTAGAAGTTATGGCTTTTAATTGCCTAATGGCAATATTAGGGCATTATATTGATTAAATAAATAGCACAACAGAACCTGCAACTAAATGCTCCTGGTCAGAGTTCCAATTATTCTGCTGCACCACCCATTCTATCCATTTCATTCTTCTGTGTGTATTTTTTCTCTCCCCCACTCCTTCTTAACAAGTTACATGGCCACTGGCCCTGCTCATCTGGGGTACATCTACATTTCAGAATTAATGCAGTTTGACACCGCTTTTATTGTATGATAGAGTTTGATAAGATACCAGCATTCTTTAGCTAAAGACTTTGTAAAACTAGCTCCCGTGATTCCATAGTCTTGAGCCACAAAGTGTTAAAGTGTTGCCAAACTGCATTAACTCTCCAGTGTAGATGCATTCTTTCAGGGGTGGTGGGGGGGTGGGAGTTGTGTGCACATTCCCTTGTTTGCTTAATTCAAGCTTTTTTGGGGCAAACTTCTCCCATAAATTTCCATTGTATTTCTATCTTGTCCCCATTCCTACTGCTGCCTCGCTTGGTTAATGGTGTCATTCTGGCAACGGAAATGCTGTTCATTATTGATATGCATAATTTGGGGGATAAAAAGGCAAGAAAAATGACATTGCAAAGCCTTCCCTTCATACAACTTCCCTTCATCAAGGGTAATTTGTGTTTACCCCTGTTTAATCCCACATCAAAGCTCTCCCGTTTCCTGCGTTGTCACGTTTCAGCCTTGATTTGACAAGTTGAAATATAAGAGCCATGGGAGGGGTAAGTTTCCCCCTTTGTTTTTCTTGCCTATATAAGGCCTGCCATAAAATAACAACAACAGCTGCATTAGTTGAAGTTTTCCCCCATTTYTCAGTTCTGCCACACCCTGAACACACTGCGTCCCCCRTCCCCCCCCCCCCCCGCTATTTTTGGCATTTTGTGAAGTTACTGTAATTTTCAAACACATTATTGATCATTCTGGAATCTTGGACTTCAATTAAYGCACATGACAAATCACCCACATATTATGCTTTTCTACAATTAGATGTCAATTGCCTATTATTATTATTATTATTATTATTATTATTATTATTATTTAATTGAGGTGGGATGCAACATAGTTAAAAACATATATAAACACACTAGCCACCCCCTGCCACGCATTGCTGTGGCCCAGTCTGGTGATCTGGAAAATAAAGTAATGGTTTCTAATATATGTAATGTCTTTATGCTTGTGGGTAAACAGTATTCCTTGTTGTTTCTATGCCAGTGTTGATGTGGAGATTGTCTGGTTTGCCCTACTCTGGAACATGTGACATATAATTGTCCTTCTTTAAGGGTCCCTTTCAAATCTATGATACTATACCTCTCTGTGTGTGAGTCCTATCTATCTCTCTCTCTCTCTCTCTCTCTCTCTCTCTCTATCTATCTATCTATCTATCTATGGCTGGATGGCTCTGTGTCAGGAGGACTTTATGTTTTCTTGCCCCGAGTTGGATTGGATGGCCTTAAGTATTTTCTATTGGTCATGGGGCTTCTGTGTGGGAAGTGTGCCCCAATTCTATCGTTCGTGGGGTTCAGAATGCTCTTTGATTATGGATGAACTGTGAATCCCAGTGACTACAACTTCCAAATGTCAAGGTCTATTTTCCCCAAACTCCATCTGTTTTCATATTTGGGTGTATTGAGTGCTTGTGCCAAGTTTGGTCCAGATCCATCATTGTTTGAGGCCACAGTGCTCTCTGGATGTAGGTGAACTACAACTCCCAAACTCAAGGTCAATGTCCACCAAACCCTTCTAGTGTTGTCTGTTGGTCATGGGAGTTCTGTGTGCCATGACTGGTTCAATTCCATTGTTGATGGAGTTCAGAGTGCTCTTTGATTGTAGGTGAACTATAAATCCCAGCAACTATAACTCCCAAATGACAAAATCATATTTTTGAGTGATGATTACTCCTTGTGTTATGAGACGTTTTGTTGCCAAATTTGGTGTGATTTCGTTCATTGGTTTTTTTTTGTTTTTAAGGTACTCATTATGCACAGAGCATTTTTATATATATAGATAAAACTATTAAATCCCATATATTAACAAACATAGACCTACCAATACAATGCAAATTTAAATTTATGGTTTAAAATTTATTAAGGCTTCTTCTACACTGCCATATCAAATCCAGATTATCAGATTTGAACTGGATTATATGGCAGTGCAGATTCATATAATCCAGTTCAAAGCAGATAATGTGGATCATCTGTTTTGATAATCTGGATTATATGGCAACGTAGAAGAACCCTAAATCTGCTGGAAGAGAGAGGTCTTCAATTCTGCTTCAGATTCTTTTTAACAATAAATTAGCAGTGTAGTAAATATACTGTATATACTCGAGTATAAGCCTAGTTTTTCAGTCCTTTTTTAAGGCTGAAAAAGTCCCCCTCGGTTTATACTTGAGTCAAGGTTATTTATTATTTTACTCTGTTGTTGTTGTTATTATTATTATTATTATTATTATTACATTTATTATTTTACTTTATCCCTTATTATTATTAGTACATTTAT